TTTTTTTTTTTAAAGGATTTCATTTCCAGTGTAAACGTACTATTGCACTTTTTTTTTCCTTGCTACTTCTTAAAAGAAGACTGCACCACTTACTTCACTTGATAAACAGTGTGTGCTTTCTAGATTCAGGTTCAGGTATATAAGATTAAATCTCGCCTGAGAACATTTGTTTTTTTTTTAGATCTTGCCATATTCAGAAGTTGCTGAAGTTCAAGAGACAGTGAGTAATATATGGTGCTATGTTTTAAATGTTAACATTTTAATATTTTTTCAGGATTTCAAGTTGGGTTCTTAAAATATATTTTTCATTGTATTTAGTCATAGATGAGTTTGTCATTATAAAAAGTAGCTAATGTAGACTGAAAAGATCAGTTTAAGAAATTGTTTTCATTTTTTCCAAAAATGTAAATTGGTTTAATCTTTTTTTACTACAAAAATAGTGAATACCTATGTGGCATGTTTAAACAACACAAAAACTGTAATAAATAAAATCCTACCTTCTGAAGCTAATCACTGTCAATATTTTGGTAGCATCTTTCCAAAGTGTTCATATGTGTATGTCTTACATATGAAATTTTATAAAAGTGAAGTCATAGCATACGAATTTTTTATAACATACTTTTAAAAGCCAATATATAATGGATGTTTTCAGTCAATAAAAAAAAAACTTTAATGATTACATAATATTTCATTGTGTAGATGTAGTATTTATTTAATACCCGGTTTTAAATGGATTACTGTTTTAGATTATTATAAATGATGTGATACATATCTATGGACACATCTTTTTTAACATTTTCAATGATTACCTTAGTATATATTCCTAGAAGTGGAATCAAAAGTGAGATCAAACATATGATTAGGTTATTTTTGAATAGCTGCCTGGTGGGCAAGATCACACTCTCTCTCTAACGTTGATAAGCTCTAGTTCCCAGAAAAGTATTGCCTTAGAATCTCTCCTATAAAACACAAGACTAAAATGTGCACATAGACAATTTTGCAGACAATTGCGGGAATATGACAAAGTCAGTTAAGTGTAGACTGATGATGACTCCTGTCGAAAGAACGAGCGGATCTCAGCTGCATTACATATGCCTCCCTGAAGTGTCTCGCTAAGCACACAAGATGTTTTATGCAACCCTGCTTCTGACTGGGCTTCTGCGAGCCAGCTGCAGCAGGATTGCTTCCACAAGTACAACTCCATCAACTATTGGGGGAAGAGGTGCCACCTGCTTGAAACTTTATTTTCGGATTATACTCATATCAGTGCTTGATAAACTCTTTGTGCTTTCGCTAAGCTCAAAAGATGACTTAAGTCAAATCACTATGAATGTTAAGAGGGAAGGTGCTGTGGCAAAGGCGCTGGGATCCAGCTTCTGTATAGATCTCGTGGGATTGTTTCGGTGTTATAGGGTGGCCATCTGTCCTGGATTGCTCAGGGCTGAGGGATTTCCCAGGACAAGGGGTGTGATTATGAACTTCTACCTATCCCTTTGCATTTCTTAAAGATTGCAGGTCTTATGCTAATTATATATGGCATGGCAGATATATAGAAGTACATTAAAATAAGATCACATTTTTTTGCATAAGGTTCTTTTCCTGAGATTTGTAGAGTAAAATCAGTAAAGATTTAGATAATGGCTCTATTTCATGCTTTTAATTAAAGTACATTGGTAGTATACTGGTATGTTACTATTATTTTATAATTTTCAGCCCTTAGCTTCTGCCAAAATAGAGAATTTATTTATATGATAAAGAAATTATTGAGGTGACTGTGTGGACATTATCTAAGGGATAATGGTAAACATGATAGATGACTCAAATAGGGAAAATGTGTCTGTTACATCTTAATGGTCTTTTTCTGAACAAGCTGAGGAGAAATTCCTGGATTCTTTGAAATTCTAGTAGTATTTTGGTTCACTAACAAAAGCCAAGAAGAGTGGCTAGCTTTTTGTTTAGTTAAAATAGTTCACAAGATCCTTATGTAGAGTGCTTTCACATTGTCTTTATGCGTTATACAACATGGAACTGCACAAATTAGACCCAGGTCCTAAAAGTGTTAAGAGTGAGAAATCAGTAGTGTGCACTTTAGCCATGTGCAGAAGACTTCAGTGATGTCAGGTACTTGGTAAAATTAATGTGTAATCTTCAGTTACTTATATTCCATTTCCCAGTAACATACTTGCAAGCAACTCTGGGAGGATGATTTCACTTGCATCCCAGTTTAATGCCTTTGTATTCACATCCTTCTGGGAAAGGTGTCTGAGACTGTGCTTATTTTTCATTGTGTTACTGCATTTATTTGGAGCGTTTCAGCTTGATTCTTAGTTCTGTTCTCTCATTATAATATGTTTTCTGGTGTCTGTTCTTTTATCTTAAGGACATTTTTAATCTACCGTGATTAAGCCATTCAGGCCATATCTTCTAACTCTCATATGTCATAATTTATACTATTTTCTTACCAGCCTGAACCTTTCCCTGTATAGGTCTTTCTGTCCAACTGCCTACTTGACATTTGACTTGGATATCTAACAGGCATTTCCAACTTCACTTTTCTCAAACTGAGCTGCTTATATTTCTCCCTGTGAACTAGCTTCTGTCACTTTCTTGCATCGCAGATAATGGCAGTTCCATTCTTCCACCAGGTGCTCAGACCTCAACACTTGACATCACTTAGATTCCTCTTTTCTTCTTTTATCTCATACTTGGTCTATTTAAAATATCCTGTTGGCTCTACCTTAAAAAATACGTTCAGAGGGCCGGCAGAGTGGCTCAGTTGGTTAAGAGCTTGCTCAAGAGTGTGAGCTCTGAGCAACAGCGATTCGAGTCCCGGCCCGAGCTGAGCTGCCGCTGAGCTGCCAACAGGTGGGCAGGATGGCTCACTAAAAAAAAAAAAAAAAGATGTTCAGAACTCAGCCATTTCCTTTCACCCTCACTGTTACCACCTTGGATCAGGTCTCCTTCATCTCTCCCTAGTTTATCGCAGTAAGCTCAGATTATACCTTTGGTCCTCTAGTGTCTATTCTCAACATGGCAGCGAGAGTGATCCTGTTAACACAGAGTCAGATTATGTCACTCCTTTTCTCAGGACCATCCAGTGGCCCCTATCTCATTCAAAATAAAACCAAAGTCCTGACTAGATCGTGTAAAGTCCTACACAATCTGACACCCATTTACATCTTTGACTCCATGTCTTACTACTTTCCTACTTGCATTGTGTTTCAGCCTCTGTGGCCTTTTAACTATTTCCCGAACGCTCCAGACCTGTCCCCGTACCAACCCTCTCCACGTGTTTCCCTCTGCCTGGAGCACTCTTCCCCTTTATGTCCTCATGAAGGTGCCTCATGTTATTCAGTCAGCTTTGTAGCAAAGATGTCTTAGGCCATCCTATCTACAATTTTAACTCCCTCTGCCCTAAGATTTTATATGTCCTCATTCTCTGCTTATTTTTTCCTTAGTATTTATACTATATAATGTATAACAAAATTTTACTTTTGTTTATTATGTTCTTCATCCCATTAGAACATAACTACCACAAAGGAAGGATTTTTGTTTGTTTTTTTTCACTACTGTATCGTTTAGGGCCTAAAATGATACCTGTCTATATAGTAGATAATCAGTAAATATTTGGTTGGATGGATCAATGATAGAATAGACAGTGTTGTTTATTTTTATTATAATTCAGTGCCACAATAAAAAAAAATTGGATTAATTCAGTAGAATCAGATTTATATGACACAAACATGCTTGAGGATATAATGTTGAGAGCCAGCATAATTTGGAACAAATATTCAGAGGTTGCTGTATATGCTAGGGCTTATTTTCTGGGAGTAAACAGGCAAGGAGTACAGCTGCACAGAATTTCACATAGTGCTGTGTTAATTAACAAAATTTGAGACTATGACAGAACTGTACAACGAAAGCAAACGCAATCTTTTATCCTAAGTAGAAGACCAACTCAGAAATCTTCAAATATGACTGACCCTGTGAAATTAAATACTCCCAACCATGTATAAACCATTGCTTTCCTTTAGGAAGTTCCCGGTAAATCTAGGGAAACTAGTAATTATTCATATCAGTGCAGGAGGATTTTTAAAGAAGATGTGTATAAATCATTTGTAGTTCACCACAATTGTCTGTCAGTTTCTGAACTTCTTTCAGTTTTCCAGTATTATACTCGTATTAGTTATTTATTGGTGATTGCAGATCATCCTAAAATTAAATGTAAAATGACAGGCATTTATTCTTTTACAGTTTCTGTGGATCAGGAATCCAAGAGCAGCTTTGTTAGTTGTCTCTGGCTCAAAATCCCTGTGGTTGCACTCAAGCTACTGGGGAGGGGACTGCTGCCACCTTATCTGAAAGCTCCACCAGGTGGATGGGGCAGGAGGAGCAGGGGAGGATCAAGGTGGGAGACCCACATCAAAGCTCACTTCATGGCTGTTGACAAACCTCAGTTCCTTCACTTCATGGGCCTCTCTACAAGGCTCCCCCAGGGGCAACTGCCCCCTACCTCCCTACACACACCTTGATCTAAGAAGGAGAGGCTGCAAACGAGACGGAAATCATAGTGTTTTTACAATCTAATCTTAGAAGTGACATCCCTTCCCTAGTGCCATGTTCTGTTTATTAGAAGTGATTTCAGTATGCCCATCATACGCTCAGAAAGGGGATTATATCCAAAGAAGTGGGGGTCATTGGGCCATTTTAGAGATTGCCTGCCACAATACTTTAATCTCTTCCCGCGTGCTTGCCAGTGGTTCTAACATAGTAATAAGCACAATTAGCTCATTGTCAACAAAACTGTATTTTTTTTTTAGCTTTTCCTGTAAAACTGAAATCAGTTTATAGAAGAATGAGCTTAAATGGGCAACAACAGAAAAATAAGTAGAGAAACTGCCTATTTATTTACTTATTTACTTATTTTGAACAAATGCCTTTAAAAGGCATTAGAACATAATATCAAGCACTGTGAAATAACCATCACTTCAGGGAAGTAACAGGGCGAAGATTTTTTTACTAGGAGACGACAGAAGCCCAAAGCAAACAGCTGCTACCTTTTTATTTTTTGGTCATGGCCAATTGAGATTCCCTCATTCCCTTTAAGTAAGACCGAGCAATAATGCACTCAGTGGGAATCTTTTGGTTTTGTTACTTTAGCTTTGATATGTTACTATACTTGGTATTGGAAATGAAGAGGGCTGAGGACCTTGTTCCTACCAAGGGATACCAACGTCCACAGGCAACATCTAGTGTAATGTTGTTTGTTACATAGTTACTAGACAGAAGGTCAGCAGCCTTTTTTCTGTTTCTTTTAGCTGATTGCAAGTTATCCATTTAAGAATGGGGTCTTCTAACTTCCTAAAGACCAGTAGCTCCAAATGATATGCTTGATATTTAATATGCTTGATATTATCTGACTTAATAAAATATATCATTCTAATCCATATTTCTCTTTGTTTTTGCCATTTGGAAATATAATTGTTCTACTTTGTTGATGTCTTTGTAAAAGCTTTTTGCTCAATGTTTGGCACATAATAAGCAGTAAATATTCCTTTTGTGGAAGACACAGACTGAATTTCTATGTTAGTATTAAGTGCTTTCATGGCATGCAGAACTAATATTTAGTAGTGCATGGGTATTATATATTTTTAAACCCCTTGAAGAATGAATAACTTTTGGCTGTCCCTTACACTTCTAAATAATTTTTACCACGCCTAACCCATATCTTGAATTATAATTGGAAGTAATTTTTGACTAGAGTAATTTTCAAAACAAAATACGTGGGTGACTTCATTTTCCTCTTTCTGCCTTCATTTTCCAAAATAAGACAAGTATTTGATAATGCCTAAGCCAAAGTCTTTTTATGTGTGGAAAAGAAAATTCCTTGTGAATTGTAATTATTAGGATTTATGTGCATGTGCTTTCTACTTATAAACTAATGCTGTTTTCCTTGTCCTTTTGTTTCACTGCTGCTTCAATCCTGATGCATTTTGCTTCTTCCTCGTTTGGATTGTGTTTGTTTGCTGCTCAATTGCCCTGCATTAAAAGCTTCTTGGTGATAGCAAAGATGTCCTTGGGCCATCAAGTAAGTAGCTAAAGTTTGAATGACACGTTTGGAGACATGATAATATTTTGATGTGTACTGTACTTATAAAAGGCATGTGGTATTTCTGTGTTGATTATTAAGTCTTCTACTTTTCTTTCCAGGCATTGAAATACTAAGCAAAGAGTACAAATGGTCATTCAGTGCCCATCTATTGTCACTTCCATCTGAGATTGGTAGTATTTGTATATTTACATCTTGATTATCTAAAGATAGATTATTTACTTAGCCAATTATCTAATTCACAATTTAGGACCCGTTATTTATAGTATTCCTTCCTATATTCATCACAAAGCATAGATCAAACTACTCCGAGGCTGGACTTGGTGTAAGAAATTCACTTCCCTAAGATGAGAAATATTATTTTATTTTGTCAGAATTTTTACGTAACAATTAATTTGATTATGAAAAAATTTTTATTTATACTTTGGAGATTTTATAAGTGAAACATGTTTCTTCTTAGAAATTTAGAAGATGCACCCTTTTAATTTATGTCCCCTGCACTCTTGCTGGGGGATACACAATGAATAAAACATGTGCCCTGCCCATAAGGATCATTATAGTCTCGCAAAGGAGTTAAACCCAAGAATAGATCATTTCAAAGCATTGTGAAAGGGGCAACCTTTGTATTAAAAATCATAGAATTACTGAAGTGAAAGGAAAGAAGTCATCTTAAAAAGCATTAATTTTATAGATGAACATCCTGAAGCTAAGAACTGAAATATCTAAGGACTTAGAATTGGTTATTAGCCCAGAGTGTCTTCTACTGGTTTTGAGAAATCGGAATGAAGCTATCAGTTTGCTGAATTCAAGTTTAACCAAATAATTAAAATAGTATTGCATTGTGAATAAGACAAAGATTTTAACTGTACTGAAGAGCAATATTGGAATTATATGATTTGGAGAGTTTTAGTATTTATTCCTAAACAGTTAACTGTTGCAAGTCAGTTTACCACTTTGGGGCTCTTCCTCCACCCCCATCGGCTAAAGGAGGAGACCGAGCAAGCTAATGACAAGGCTTCTTCTAGTTGAAAAATTCTGGTCTAGAACAGTTGCTGCTTGACTCTAATACTGGTTATAATATGTATGTAATTTTTTTCTAAAAAGATGATTTAAGGTAATAAGCTAAAATTATTTTTTAACTGCAACAATTCATAGTATTTTAAATATATTGTTTATTATACAACCAGCATTATCAGAATAGTAGAAAATTTTAAGGTAGAAAAAAGCATAGAAATCCCAAAATATTTTTATGTTTTCTTGTTCAGCCTTACTTGTGAGACCTGGCAGATATTTTCAATTGATTTTTCAGTTATTTTAGTTACTTCATATATTTAGATGATGGCGGAGACAAACTGATTGGCACTGCTGAATTTTACAAATGGAATTTAATTTTTAATATCAATTGAAATGGTTCTGTTTTAGGAACTAGGTTTTATAAATGGAAGTATTTAATTTTTTCTTGGAATAGAAGAAATTTATTATGGCTATATATTTTAAGCATATATAAATAAAAATATACAACATATTAGATATGAGCTTATATTGCACTCTGCCAACTATTAAAAGGGGACTGTATAATTATTTCCTAGAGACCACATATCTTTTAGAGTGAAAATGAATTCCATATAGTACTTTATTAGGCTCTCTACTGTTGAAAGAAAAAGCTATAATATTGTATATACCAACATATTTAAACTCTTTAAGTATTTGAGAAAAGGTATACAGTCTATAAGGGGACAGTTTGGATTTACATAGAGATTATGACTTTAAAATAATTCATTTTATCTTCACTTTCACTTAGTTTAAGGGCAAACAGCAGACTTTTAAGCTTATAAAAATTCTTCAGACTTATATTTATTATCTGAATTCAGAAAGTAAAGAATAGTAGCATACAATCATACTCTCCTTGGAAGTTGCAGCTGGTATGTTAATTATATTACTGTTAATTATTGCAGTGTAGTTTCTACTTAAGATAGTAAAGAAGTATGAATGGCAAAGTTGGTTACTTTACTTCCAGTACAAAGTACAACCAGGAGAGGGCACTGTAATACCATCTTTAGTAGGTGAGGCAATTAATTGTAATGTCAGAACCACACTTAAATCATGCAGGGATTCTTACATCAAATATTTATTCGGTCATTTAGCAAGTGTTTATTGTCACTTTTATGCCAAGTGATACAGATAAAAACAAAGTCAGTGCCCTTCTTGAGCTTACATTTGACTAGCCTACTGTTGTGCAAATGATGTAGGATATCACAATGATTTTTACATAATGCAAATCCTTTCTTGTCTGTATAGTTAGTTTTTAATGTTTGTGAGAGGGGTGAGAGAAAACAAAAGAGGAAAAATAGGCTTTCTGGTTTTTTTAAAGAAGTATATTCTGTATATTACTATTTCAGCAAACCCTCTCACTTTAAGGATATCAACATCATAAACAAGAAAGGGGTGAATAGAACTCAATTTATACTTTTAGACGATTTCCGTTTTTATAAAGTTATTCAAGACAAAGATACCTATGTCTTACTGATGGAATACTAAAAACTAGATTTTAAAGAGCTAATTATTTTAGCTCGTCTCATAATGTATTTTAAATTAGCCTTAAATGTAAATGTCTGATACTACAGAAATGTAGCATATGTAAATATAAAACATAATCATACAATATGTGCGTACATGTTGCATTTACCTCTTACGAACTTTAATCTTAAAAATACCTCACAGCCATCTATTTGCTGCTTCTCTCTTCTATCCCTGTGTCTGTCCCCAGAGGTGATGAGTATTTTGTATATTTTGTTTATAATCCTTTGCTTTTTTAAAAACTAGATTTTTTTTGTTATTTTAAAATTATATATGTATCACTAAGTTTTGCTTGGTTTTTAATTTTATAAAAATAGTATCATGAGGTACTCGTATGTCTTCTTCTAGGGTTTGTTTTTTGTAGTTAACATCTTATTTCCAAGGTTCAGCCTCATTATTGGGTATAGCTGTATATCATTCCTTTTCAGTGCTACTTACTATTCCATTATATGCATATACCACAATATATTAATCCATTTTACTTTCAATTGGTGAATATTTCAATTGTTTTGATTTTTGCTACTATGAACAGTATTGCTATGAAGATTCTTATTTTTTTTCTCTTGGTACACATGTATAAGAGTTTTAAAGCTGAGGGTGGAATTGTTGGACCCATAAATGTGCTGAAATTCAATTTTAGAAGACTGATCTAAATTGTTTTTCGAAGTGCTTGTATCAAGTTGTCCTTTACCAGCAGTGCTTAAAATGTCTCACTGATCCATCCTTATCTATTTGCTATTATCAGACATATTTTTGTCAATTTTACTGAGTGTAAAATATTTTATTGTGATCTTGGCTTGTATTTTTCTGATTACTAAAGAGGGTGAACATCTTTTTGTATATTTATTAAGCATTTGCATTTCTTCTTCCAAGAAATCACCATTCACGTTTTCCCCATTTTTCTTTTTTTGTATAAAAAATTTTTATTGAACCATAATTGACATACAACATTTTATTAGTTTCAGGTAATACACCATAATGATTTGATATTTGCATATGTTGCAAAATGATCACCATAATAGGTCTAGTTAACATCCATCACCATACCTAGTTATAGATATTTTTTTCTTGTGATGAGAATTTTTAAAATTTACTCTCTTAGCAACTTTCAAATATGCAATGCAGTATTACTAACTGTAATTGCCATGTTCCATATTACATGCACATGACATTTATAACTGGACGTTTGTATCTTTTGACTCTCTTCACCCATTTTGTACACCCCAACCTCTCCACCTCTGGCAACCACCAATCTGTTCTCTGTGTCTGTAAGCTCATTTTGTTGTTGTTTGTTTGTCTTTTTAGATTCAACATATAAGTCTGATCATACCTGTTTGCCTTTTTCTGTCTGACTTATTTCACTTAGCATAGTCCATTTGTGTTGTTGCAGATGTTAAGTTTTTGTCTTTTTAGGCTGAATAATATTCCACTGTACATATGCACCATATTTTCTTTATCAGTTCGTCTATTGATGGGCACTTAGCTTGTTTCCGTATCTTGGCTATTGTAAATAATGCTGCAATGAACATTAGGGTGCATATATCTTTTTGACTTAAAGTTTTCATTTTCTTTGTATAAATATGCAGGAATGGAATTACTGGATTGCGTGGTACAATAGTTCTATTTATATTTTTTTAGGAACCTCCATACTGTTTTCCATAGTGGGTGCACCATATATTCCCACCATCAGTATACAAGGGTTCCTTTTTCTCCATATCTTCTCCAACGCTTTCTCTTTCTTGTTTTTTTTTTATGATAGCCATTATCCCAAGAGATATGAGGTGATAGATAACTCATTGTGGTTTTGATTTGCATTTTCCTGATGATTAGTGATGTTGACCATCTTTTCATGTACCTGTTGGCCATTTATATTTCTTTTTTTGGAAAACAATGTTTGTTTAGGTACTCAGTCCTTTTTTTAATAAGTTGCTTGGGGTTTTTTTGTTTTGTTTTGTTTTTTGCTATTCAGTTGTGAGTTCTTCATATATTTTGGCTATTGACCTCTTCTTATCAGATATATGATTAGAAAATATTTTCTCCCATTCAGTAGGTTGCCTTTTCATTTTGTTGATTGCCTACTGTGCAGAAGTCTTTTAGTTTGTTGTAGTACCACTTGTTTATTTTTGTCTTTGTTGCTCTTGTTTTTTTGGTGTAAGATCCAAAAATATCATCTCCAAGTCTGATGCTTATGTTTTCTTCTAGGAGTTACATGGTTTCAGGTCTTACATTCAAGTCTTCAGTCCATTTTGAATTAATTTTTGTGTATGGTGTAAGCTAGTGGTTCAGCTTCATCGTTTTGCATGTGGTTGTCCATTTTTACAACACCATTTATTGTAGAGGCTTTGCTTTTCTCCATTATATATTGGCTCTTTTGTCATACATTAATTGACCATGTAAGTGTAGGCTTATTTCTGGGTTTATTCCATTGGTCTATATGTCTCATTTTTATACCAATATCACACTGTTTTTTTTGGTTTTTTTACCTTTAGCTTTGTAATATATTGGGTTGTCAGGAAAGTCATGACGCATTTTTGCAACAAAAAGCATAGAAAAAATACGTCATGACTTTTCCGAAAATCAAATAGTTTGAAATCAGGGAGCATGATGACTCCAGCTTTGTTCTTTCTCAAGATTGCTTTGCTATTCAGGGTCTTATATGGTTCTATACAAATTTTAGGATTGTTTGTTCTATTTTTGTAAAAAATGCCATTGGAATTTTGATAGGATTTGCATTGAATCTCTATATTGCTCTGGGTAGTGTGGACATTTTAACAATATTAATTTTTCCCATCCATCGGCATGAAATACCTTTCCATTTATTTGTGTCTTCAATTTCTTTCATCATTGTCTTATAGATTTCAGTGTACAGTAGTTCCCCTTTACCCACAGGGCATACTTTCCAAGACCTCCAGTGGATGCCTGAAACCACAGATAATACCAAACCCTATATATGCTATGTTTTTTCCTGTACATACGTACCTATGATAAAGTTTAATTTAAAATTAGGCACATATGAGATTAACAACAAATAACTAATAATATAGAACAACTATAACAATATACTATAATAAAATTGATGTGAATGTGGTCTCTCAAAATATTTTGTTGTACGTACAGCACAAAAATGGATATACTGAACAAAGGGATGATTCACGTCCTAGGTGGCATAGAGTGGGACAGTGTGAGATTTCTGCCTGCTACCCAAAATGACATGCAATTTAACACTGATGATTTGTTTATTTCTGGAATTTTCCATTTAATATTTTCAGACCATGGTAAACTAGGTAACTGAAACCATGGAAAGCAAAACCATGGATAAGGGGGACTATTGTACAGATCTTTTACCTCCTTGGTTAAATTTATTCCCCCGTTTTTATATTGCATTATTAGTCTTTTTCTAATTGATTTACAAGGTTTTTGGGGTTTTTTTTAAGAAAAACATATTCTGGGTACTAACTTTCATTAATTACACATATTGCTAGTGTCTTCTTTTCTGTGTGTTTTTCTTTCCAATTTCTTTATGGTATCTTTTGATCACATTAATTTTTAATTTTTTTTAATATAGTAGAATTTATCAATTCTTTTTTTTATGGTATTGCTTTTTTTGTCTTTTTTTTCTAAGATATTAATTAAAATACTTTAAAGATATACACCACACAGAAATATTTTAAAAATACGAAGAGACGATAGACAAACAATGGATAATGAGAATTCTTTTTAAAAGAGATATACAATAGGGAAGGAAAACAGTTTTATATACTATTTAATAATAGTATATATACGTTAATTATAAGCCATAGTGCTAAAAGCTTTCTGAGCATTGGCAAGGAAAGCCGAAAAATTTTTGGTCTTCCTTACAGTCTCTTGAAATTCTGCCAGGCATGCACATAAGGAGCACTGGCTGATACTTCATAGTCCCTTGCTTCATTTCGGTGTAGGCAAAACATAAATGGGCTATCAGGATGCTTAGGGTCAATATTAGTGAATATAAACTGCAATTTATCACCATAAAGTTTTCAAATTTTTAATCCACGTCGATCTTTATACAAGTCTACAGGTTTTGTAGCCTTTTCGACCTCTCTTCACTAGTTTTTTCAGCAGTGGAAATAGTTTTCTTCTTCTTGGCACGTTCTTCCTTAGGATCCTGGACATTTGCAATCAGTACTTCCAGTTCCTGCTTTCGGCCTTGTACTTTAACAATCAACAAAATGTTATCCTTTTTTTCTTGAATGAACTTATTCTGCCTGCAGATCTGATTTTAATATTCCAGAGACATCTGAATCATTCATTCATCTTCCTTTAATTTCACAGACAGCTTTTCTGCAAATGCTTTATTGATGCCCTTGTAGATATCTCTTAGTCCCACCATCTAAAAGGAGATGTCATTGCTTTTGAATTTATTCCAAAATTCATTTATGCTTTTTATCTAACAATGCCGGTTCCCCCTCTACCATTTTGTAAGACAGGGCTTCTCCAGGAGCCCTGAGTCCCACTGTGTTCCCCACACAAGGCATGAACCAGTTCTGCCTAACCACCGGTCTCCAGCTGTTTTGTCTTTTAAAGGAATCATTTCTTACCCCAAGTGTATGGAGATATTCTCTTATGTTTTCTTCTAAAAGTTTTCAAGTTTTGCTTTTTACATTTTTGGTTTTAACTTTCATAGAACTATTCTTTGTGTGTGGTATGAGGATAGGGACCTATTTTTCATAGTCAATTTTGCTAGTATCAGTAATTGAATATAGCCTTTTCTTTCCCTACCCCTATTGTATATCTAGGCTCCACATAATCATGGGTTTGTTTCTGAGAGCTCTCGAATATTCCTTAGGTCAGTCTGTCTCTCTTTACATCAGTACATTTTTAATTTCAATAATAATTTTTACGAGTTAAATGGATCTTCAATTTAATAACTGAAGGAACCACCATATACTTTATGAAATGAAGTTTCATAAAATATAAAAATTGTTGGTTGATTCATTCAAGAAAATTCTATTGAACACCTTCAGTGTGCTAGAACCATACCAGGACTCAAGGATTTATGGGAAAATAAGGCAGACAAAAGTCCCTTCTCTTACGGAATTAATAGATTGGCAGAGAAGGCAGACATAAGTGATATAATTTCAGATAGTGATAAGAGCTATAATAAAAATCATGTAAAGTGATAGAGTATAACTGGTGGAGTGGGCACTAACCAAAAAAATCCAAAAGAAATGCTAAATTGTATATTAAAATAGCTTATTTATCAAAAGGCACCATGAAGGGCTTTTCTGAAGAGATGACATTGGAACACAACAAATGATGAGAGGGGCTAATAATGAGAAGACCTGGGGTAGGAGTATTTCAGGTAGAGGGAACAAGAACTAAAGGCCCAGAGACTGGGACAAGATGGTGTGTTTGGAGGAATACCAAGAAGGCCAAGAAAGCTGGAGCCAAGTGAGTAGAGTGGTAGAGAATGAGGTTAGAAGGATAAGCAGGGGCCAGACACTATTGAATCTTTAGGCCATGGAATTTATTGCAGGTATCATGGTGAGCCATTGAGGATATTTCTGCATGATGCAAATCTGGCTTATGATTTACAAAGATTGCTCAGGCTTCCATGTAGAGAAAGGACTCTATACAAGTAGGGAGCCTAGATAGAAATCTGCTGCTGTGACCCAGTGGAAAGGTAATGGTGGCTTGGAACAGGGTAGTAGTTCTGCAAGTGGGGAGAAGTAGAAGGACTCCGGATAAACTTTGAAGGTAGGGTTCATGTGTAAAGATCTCAGAGATAAATTGGATGTGAAGTGTAAAAGAGAAAAGTCAAAGAAAACATACATCTAAGTTTTTGACCTGAGAAAGTGGGCGAGGGGTATAGTGATCCACTTACTGAGATGGGAAAGAGGCTGGTTTGGAGGATAAGCAGAATCAAGAATTACATCTGGATAAGCTTGAGGTGCTTGTTAAACACTAGAGGTGATTATAAAGCAGGCTATTGGGTACATGAGTTTGAATTTAGGAGCAATAAATTTAGGAGTCATCAGTGTATAAATTTTTTTTTAATGGCCTTGATGGGAAAATAAGTTTTTTATGTCTGTACTTGGAAGATAAAGCGTTTTTAAATTTTTACTTTGAAATTTAAGGAGCTAAAATACAATTTTGGAAACTTTAGCACAATAGGAAACATGTTAAAGCAATTTAATTTAAAAGATACGGTGATAAAAATGTGAATGTGAAGTTCTGGTTAAGTGAAAAATTAAGTCTAATGTGAGGACACAATCATTCTTACTCAAGATAAAACTAAGGTTTTTGTAAGCTGAAAGTACAAAAAATATAAAATGAAAGGATGTAGTGATCCTAGGGCACTGTGGGCTTGCTCAAGATTTGCCTTACTCCTTCATTGAGTATTTTTCTATTTTCTGTCCTCTCTGGAATTGGGCATCGCCTTCCTCTGTTAGTAGCTTGGTCAAGTGGGTGAACTGCAGCCTTAAACACTGTTTAAATTGATTATTGGGGCAGCGAGCTTTTAAGAGCCAGACTTATGAATCAAATGGTCCTGAGTTAGAATCTTACCTCTATTACTTAATCTTAGGTAAGGCAATCTCTGAACCTCAAGTTTCCCCATCTCTAAAACATGAAAATTAGAAATTAGAATACAAATTCTAATGAATGTAAAATATTATTTTATACTGCTACCAATTTGTATTTTTTTGACCACTAATGAGGTTGAGTATCTTTTCATATATTTATTGGCCATTTGTATTTCTTCTGTGAAATGACTTTGCCTCTTGCTTATTGTTCTATTGGCAAATATAGAGTTACGGTAATAGCACAATAAACCTTGGAGTACTTTTTATCATCAGTTGAATATGTAGTTTCATTTTTATAATGTCTATAATTTTTGTTGTTTTACTCATGCATGCCTGTCAATCTCTTTTGGATTGATAGCAAACTAAAGTTAAGACAATTATGCAAATTTATTAAATTATTGAATTGGTAAAATTAATATAACCATCGAGGTGATTTCAATCATAGTTCTATTCCATGTTATTAACTATGCCATTATATAAATCTAGAGCTGAAGAACTAATTCTTTTTCCCTTCTTTCCTTGAGCTGTGGTAGCAAACAGCGACGAAGCTCAACTTCTGACACCAGGAAAGATGAGTCAGCGCCAAGGGAAAGAAGCTTACCCAACTCCAACCAAGGAGCTGTATCAGGCGTCTTTTAGTCCGGCAAGCCCTCATAGCCAGGGTAAGAAGTTGTGGTTTAAATGTTTCCTTGTTTTGTTTTTTTTGGTTTTTGGGGTTTTTTGAAGGAAGAATGACATTTTTTCTTTTGAACTATTTAGTGGTATAAGGTTTTTTGTGTGTTTTGGTCATCCATAATACTCGTGAAGTAAGTAAATTTTCCTTTAAGGTCTTTTAAATCCTCTCATATTCTCTAACATACTTGGTTAGTTATATCATTCTTCTAATTCAGTGATTCTCAAACTTTTTGATCTCAGGACTCCTTTACACTTGTAAAAATTATTGACAACCCCAAAGAGCTTTTGTTTATATGTGGTAGCCTATTGATATTTACTGTATTGTAAATTAAAACTGGAAAATTTTTAGTTGTTTATTAATTCATTTAATATTACAATAATAAACCCATTACATGTGAATATGGACATTTTTTATGAAAAATAACTATATTCCCCCTTCACACCCCCCAAAATGAGTGAGCAGTATGGTATTTTTTTCCCCTCAGGGTCTCTGAACCTTGGCACTATCAACATCTTGGGCTAGATAATCTTTTGTTGTGTGGGCTACCCAGTGTATTCATTATAGAATGTTTTGCAGCATCCCTGGCATCTATCCACTAGATGCCAGTAGCACTTTCCCTAGTTGTGACAACCAGAACGATCTCTAGACATTGCCAAATGTCCCCTGAGGGACAAAATCGTCTTTGGTTGAGAACTACTGTTTTATAGTTTTTGCAAATCTCTTTAATGTGTAGCTTTAATAAAGACACCTAGATTTTCATATCTGCTTTTGCAGTCAATCTGTTGTGATATGATGATTTGATTGAAGTACTATGTGAATAAAATCTGGCCTCTTATATGTCATTTGAAAAGAGAGAATTACATTAATCACTTTTATACATAATTGTAGCTATTCTTTAGTACTACACCAAAACTTGACACATTTCTTAAATGTTGGTTGCAATATGGAATCTGAAACCAAATCAGTAAGCTTTTCATACTCTATTAAATTAAAATCC